AATATACATATATATATATATATTCACACACACACACACACACACACATACATATATATATATTGTTTGTGTTTATCATATATATGCGGTACATTGACATGTGTACATATAAAATACACTTTGATATCACAGGTGAGTGTATACATAAATTTGTCCCCGGGTTAAGGATAACCCCATGCGCTCAGAAATGATAGCACACTCATACATGGACTCTCTAGCCCGTGCCACAGGCGATACTGTAGCAACTGTAGACTGTCAGTTACACTTATTCGTTGCATACTACATACTATCACCTTCGCCACCAGTGTATAGCTGTCAGTCATGCAATGCATACGAAGCACCTGCGCTTGTGTCTGAAATCTGTGGCATTTATTCAGCCCCTATCTCGCTCGAACACGGGAGTATACTGATCCGGTTTAATTGTAAAACAAACTGCGTATCAGATATTCGAAGATGTGGCCATGGGGTGCCTGCTGCCCAATTCAGATCGTCAAGCCACTTACCAAGATCCGACAAGTGCGGTCACTATCGAGTAAGTCGAGTTTTTATCCGAAATTTAGCACTTTTTGGGGGGGGGGGAGGCTAGAATTAATGTTCATTTACTTGGGAGGCTACGGAATGAACCTCCGTGACACCTCCGATTCCACTCGCACCTAATTACCTATTTTTTTTTAAAACACTCCCCCTTCACCCACCCACACACCCAAGTAGTCGGAGCGAATATTCCGAACATATTGCGCTCGCACTGCAACATATTGGGTTTCTGTATTAAATGAGAGATTGGCATCTGTTTTTTCGCTTGACCGGAAATCTCGTTTTGAGTTGCGATCGCAATATATCTGCCGTTATGGGAGTGTTACACGGTCAGGTAGTCGAGCGAATTTAGACCGGGCAATAGCTTAGGATTGAAACTATTGGCGCACAAATAGACCTCCAAAAGGTGGTCGTCTCCGTGTCCATCTCATCGTATGACATACGTGAGGTTTGTTATTCCTTGCTCTCCTGGCATCATTTCTGGTTGTTGTTGTCCACTGTTGGTGTATGACCTAGTAGTGCTGAGAGGAATTGTTCGGGCTATGCCTTTCATCATCATTTGCATGCAAAATTCCGGTATGCGCAGCATGGTATGTCATCATAGTCTTATATGACGAGGCTGTGTTTCAATTTCTCAGGCATCATTTGCAGCGACTCGGTGAAGCCTGCATACACCGCCGAGCATCTATTCTTGCATTGCAGGTTACTGATAGTTATACATCATCGGGATTGCACCAAGTATATTACCATGTAGTGTTAGTTATACATCATCAGGATTGCACCAAATATATTACCATGTAGTGTGCTCATCCGTACGGCCCCCCGAGGTCTCTGCCTATTTTTCGTCTTATATTGTCGGTAGCTTGGTGATTCCTTGTTCTTGGATCATCGTTTCGTTGGGTATGTATTGCTTACCCTCTTTCTTGTCATCTGAAGTGACCTAGAAAGTTCTGCAGTTGTCGTGAGCAGTTTTCTTGCGCGGCGGTTAGCTGATAGTCATGCATCAGGGCTGCAATCAAGTATAGCCATGCAGTCTGCGCATCCGTAGGTGCCCCCGAGGCCTCTCCGTATCCGTCTTCTATCTATATGTTAACTCAGATACGTGTTTCTTTCTTCCTGTCCATTACCACTTTCTTTAATGTTCATTCTTAATTTTCTTATTATTATGTCTAACATGGATGTATACTTTCTTGTCACCTGCAGTGACCCCGTAAATCCTGTTGTCATCGCCGAGCATTTATCTCTCAGAGACTGCGAACTCGTGACCATACATTTTCAGGATTGCCTCAAGTTGTTATGTCTTGACCAGTGGCAGAGTGTCTTCTACGTCGACGAGCAAGTAAGTG